TCGGCGATATCATTTTCACGCTGTACAACTGCATTTATATATATAGTAAATTATTTTAGCAACAAAAGGAATATTTACAAAGATGTGTTATTAAAATTGTAAATTTTAAGGGTAAGAAACTGAGTAGTGAAACCTAAACCACTAAAAAACAACCCACACTTTCTGCTTCCCGAAAGCTGCTCTACTTGAATCTACAATTCGATGGAGACTCATCGGCAGAGATACTGAGAAATCGCCTGTCCCACTCACATTCTTCGCGGTTGAACTCCGACTAACCTTCTCTACGAAACCAATGATTGGCATGAACGTGAAGGATCAGCTACCACTGTTGGCTGGCCTCATCAATGTGCATCATCTACCAATTCACCTGCTCGTGTGGAGTTAGCTAAGTATGCCAGCCGTACCCAGCGTTTGCTATCCAAACGTATCATTGAACACTTACCCTTTTGGTTTTATAAGGGAAGAAACAGAATCTCCCCACCACAGCAGCTTTACCCTAGAACACCTGGTCGAATCTGGACACCAAGCTAACCTCCAAACTAAATTCAAAGTCATCTACAGAGTACGCGGGAATCCCGCTAAAAGAATACGAATCAACCTTCTTCAAACCGCAAAAGACATGGCAATTCGCATATTCAATCCTAGACTCTCTACACAAAAGAAGTTTGTTCAGTCATTAATATCTAAAGTAGACCTGATCTATCCTAACACCAAATACGTAATTTTTATTTTTTGTTTCTCAATTGTATTATTTTCCTCCCTCAATCCCCTCCTCTTGAATTTCTACCCTTTATGGCCACTGTTGTTGACTTGTTCGGTCGGTCGGTCGGTTTTCGACATAGAACTTTGCACATATGTGCGGCAGTTCAAGTCGCCACAATCTATGTAGCACGCAAAGCAAGAGAAGAAAGTAGAAGAAATGCATAATATAGACAGTAAACAGAGGTGTGAGACAAAGGAATAGTAATAACGGAGAACAAAACAGTTTAATTGGAAATCATAAGTCACAAGGAGTGGATGCATCTGCGCCACTGACTGTTGACTTGTTGACTCTCGTTCAATCAATTTTAGTTGAATGCTATTCAACCCCGTCAATTATATTACGTCACTCGATTTATTTGTTGAATTTTATTTTAGTTTCTACTTCATTAAGGCTTACATTACATTATGTAATTTGTTACCTAAAACAAAATCTTTTATTGCTAAGACAATTTACTATCTATACATGCGATTGTGCAGTTTGAGAATGATATCGCCGAAAAGGAGAGTAATTCTTTGCTGAACGCCTTTTCTTTAATCTTTTTACAAATGACAGTACCTGGTACTGCCATGATACGCCCAAGGGTTGAAATTTATTATTATTATTATTGTTTCCTTTAGTTCCTAGAAGAACATAGGGCTTCAGCCGCGCACGTCTCCATTGCATTCGCTTCTCTACCGACGTCTTTTCAACTGGCTCCACGTCTGCCCACATGCTTTCATCTCCTCTTCACATGACCTTCTCCTCCATGTCACCACATCCTCGCACTGACGACCAACTCGCCGCTTCTCTTTTCTGGTTCCACTCGAGCGATGGCTTGTCTAGTGATGTCACTTGATGGTTTCCTCAGAGTATGCCAGCCAATCCATCTCCATTTCTTCCTGCATATTTGTTTCACAATCGGTTCCTGCTGTGTTGGTTCGCTCATTGCCAGAGATATCTGTTGCTGATCGTTTCTGGCCGGCCATCTGATCTTGAGTATTGAGCGAAGACAACTGTTAATGAAGGTCTGTAGTTTGTTTGAGATGCTCTTCATGACGCTCCAAGTCTCTGCTCCGTATAGCAGCACTAACTTCACATTGGAGTTGAAAATCCGGATCTTATTCTTCATGCTGAGTGCTGTTGACCTCCACACAGACTTCAGAGTAGTGAAAGCTTGTCTTGCTTTCCCGATCCTTGCTTTGATATCCTCATCAGTTCTGTCCGCCTGTAGTTGAAACGATACTTCTTAGGTAGGTCGGTAGGTATAGTAGGTTGCTTCTTTCAGATCTCTCCCATTTATGCTGATTGTCATCTGTTGCTGTTGCTGTTGGCCAGAAATCTTCATCACTTCTGTTTTCTCTATGTTCACCTGAAGTCCTATCTTCTCTGGAAGCTTCTTCTGCCAACTTGTGGCTTTTCACTTGCATATCTTCCAGTTTGTGAGAAATCAGGCATATATCATCGTCGAAGTCCAGATCCTCCAAAGGGTTGAAAGCAGAGTTTTTTTTTAAATCAAAAAACAGCCTATTCTAACTAATCCCACTATGACTTATTTATTAATGCGTAAACTTTGTATATATATATATATATATGTATACATATATATATACAATGAGTACCAAGAGAAAGGCTACACAAAATTGAATAGTTTGACCAAGGGTGAGGGATACTGTCCTGATGCCCAGAAAAAAGCAGGTGGTTGTCTTATAGGTCCACTCCCTAATTCCAAGCCTTTAACTTGAAGTCTTATCCACAGGCTAATAGACCAGGTGAGAATTAGTTCCCATGGTTGCTGTTGACCAAACACAGCTTTATACGCCGTTCCATCCGTTCGGAGGCTCTGGAGCCCATAAGTTTGGAACCAGGATTTTCCAGTTGCTTTAAGTAGACTTCAGCATTTCTACTAGTCCAGTTGTTAGCACCAGACGTGTTGTCAGGAACACCCCGCAGCCGTGTGAATTCAGGGATTACGACTTATCTGGAATAGGCTATGGAACAGGTGGAAACATGATAACATTTCTAGAGTGAAAGACCAAAGTCTACCCACACTAAGCTGTACCAAGGTTCTTTATGGGGGCAATTAATTCCGTAGGTGCAGTACGAGATACCCATTTTCTCGACCTACTGGGTTATGCGCAGAAACTCAAGGCATACAAAACTATTCACTGCTAATTTGCTTCCAATGATTATTCTAGCTATATTATTGATCTATCTCGCACACACACACAATCAACTTTGAAATCAATCTGGGCTGGGATTGGTTGGTTTGACCGTGAAACCCTTCAGTGTTTTCCTAGACAACATCTTCAGAGGAAGTGAAAAAAACCTACTGAGGATGTGAAAAGACAAAATCTAGGCACAAGATTATGCTTACAACTGCTTTGCCACAGTACAGAATCGGTTGCTGTATACACACGAGTAGCCAAAGTTATCCAGGTTACTATGAGCCACAGCTGCACGTCTCCACCTGCTTCTGTCTTCTGCTGTACTTTTCACCTGCATCCATGTTAGTTCATACTGTTTCAACTCCTCTTCACACGATCTCCTCCATGTCCAACTCGCCGCTTCCATTTCGGGTTCCACTCGAGCGTTGGCCTGACTGACGCGCGATATCACCCAGCGACCTCCTCAGCGAGTGTCCAATCCATCTCCACTTTCTCCTGCATATTTGTTGAGCGATAGGTTCTTGTTTTGTTTCTTCCCACAGTTTCTTGTTGGTGATTCTTTCCCGCCATCTGATCTTCAGTAGAGAGCGAAGACAGTTGTTGTTGATAAAGGTCTGCGACAGGCTGTTGGAAATATTCTTTGTGACCCGCCGCCAAGTTTCTGATCCATCCGTATAGAAGAACTGACTGACTGACTTGACGTTTGTATTGAAAATCCGAATCACTTTGTTGTTGATGCAGACTGAGTGACGAAGATTTGCAGATTTGTTTCAGGTTGATGAATGTGTTTCTCGCCTTCCCGATTCTCGATTTGACATCCTCGTCCGTTCCTCCTGCCTGTAGTTGAGACAATGCTCCCTCCCTAGATAAGTGAATGAAGTAACCTCTTTCATCAAATCCCTTCCGTTGATGGTGATTGGAGCTGGATGTTGCTGCTGTTGTTGTTGTTGGTTGGTTATTTTCATAACCTCGGTCTTGTCTATGTTTACCTGGAGTCCTGTCTTCTCTGGCTGCTTCTTCGACCAGTTTGTCGGTTTTCGCTTGTAAGTCTTCGATTTTGTGTGACATCAAACATAAATCATCCACTCGCGAAATCCAGGTATTCTAGGTTCTTCACGTTGGTCCAGGATATCCCTGTCTTCTCGTTCCCCACTGTCTGACGCATAATCCAGTCCACCACAATTAGGAATATCATTGGTGATATTAAGCACCCTTGTCTGACTCCTGTGTTTACTCCAAACGCCTCGCTGAGTTTTCCGTTGTGGATCACATGACATGTACCGTTGTCGTACAGCTGTTGAATAAGGTTGATGAATATTTGGGGTACGCCACAATACTTGAGTAGTTTCCAAATTACTTGCGGTCAACGCTGTCGAAGGCCTAGCCTAGATTACTAGCTCACTAGTTTTCTAGCCGGTTCCAAGCCCGGATAAAGAGGGAGGGTTGGGGCGTGGTGCTAGCAACTCCACCTCGAAAACTTAACCAAATTGCTAAAGAAACTTCAACGCACAAATATATTAAAAATTCTAAAAACAAGTGTTGTTACTCAACAACCATTTGCACAATTTCGCGCATAGTTGACAATGAGTCACACCTTTTGTGTGTGCGTGTGTCACTACTACCACGCAATTCTGCCCAAACCACAGCTTGCGTGGGGCGAGCTCTGGAGCCCCGCAACCTACTTGGTTGGAAGTCGACCGCCTAGACCACCACCGATGAACCAACAGAGCTCCATAAACTAATATCTACTGTAAAATCATTACAGGTCTGATCACAAGCCGATATCAGTTGGAGAATCATTGAAAAACCAGGGAATACTACTGGATAGCTGTTTCGTCCCAGTTTGGAATTCTTCAGAAACACAGGATCTTCCCGTTACAAGATGAGCTCATAGATCATCCAGCCACTGGGACCCAATCCAATGGCCTGTGAATACCAACCTCTGTCAATTCACTATATAAATCATGATCGCCAGCTCAACAACGAGCTGGTCCTCTTATATCTGACTTTATCGACCCCGCTGATTACAACTACTACTGTAAATTGATAGAATTGTAAAGAAAGTAATCGAATAGAGTGTTAAAATTGCTTACCAGATTGTGTTGATGTGTCAGTGTTATCTGACCATTTTGACTAAATGATAACGAAATACCCATACGTCTCAGTGTATTCAAATGGTCTGTATTATCAGGTTGAAAATCCATTGCTTTCAAGGGTAGAAATGACTGGTCTCTCACATTATTATTATTACTAGAAGTAGTAGTAGCAGTGGCATGATCGCTCCTTGATTGATAATCCAAATTACTAGCGATCTGACGTAATGGTTGACGTATTGAATCAATAATACGCCAAACATGCGATTTAGAGAAAACATACTTCAGCACGACATCATCAGTATTATGACATTTTGGTAATTTTTTAACACAATAACGATAGAAAAGATTCGGTGTTTCAGAGATATGACAAGTGGCTTTCAAGTGCCAATCAGCATCACTCAGAGTCGTAGTGGTAGTAGCCCCGCTGACTTTGTCCTTGTTGTTGTTGGCGACTTTATCAGCCTCGTCGTTGTTGTTGTTCTTCTTCTTGATGTTGTCGTCTTCAGCTTTCTTAGTCTCCTGATTATTTTTCTTCTTGTTAGACGACAGACATTTCATTGTATGCCTATGCTGCATTTGTTCATAGCCAACAGCCATACATTGAGCTGCACTGCGTAATAACCTTTCAACTCTGACATCTCTATCCCCATGATGATCAGGTGCCGATTTGACGGTAGAGGAGGACATCGATGCAGATAAATAAGAGGAAGAGGAAGATGACGAAGAAGAAGTAGACACTGGAATACTTGCATTCTGTGGCATATTCTTGACAATTCTATTCAATGAAGAGGATGTTGTCACTGGATGACGTGATAAACTCAATGGGAGAAGATGTGCTTCTGTTGTAAAAATATAATCATCTAGATTGATTGGTAGATCAGAGGATTCAGCGAATAATAAGTAGAGGTATTTAAAGGTTTCAGCTAGTACAAATGAATCGAATTGATCTTCATGCTCCATAGTACGTACATCCTAAATAATAATAATAATAATAATAATACAAAACGGTTACCCATCAAGATTCATAGACAAAAACATCAAACAAACAAAAAATCTAAAAGCAAGAAACATCATCTGTACCAAAAAAATACTTTATATGAACCTCGACTTCAAGGGAGACCAACTCAGTGACGTCCTCAGAAGGAGAATCTCCATCTCTTTAAGAAGAACTTTCTTTCCGGCAACATTGAAAGTAGTGTTCTCTAGTCGCCCGCTAATCTGCAGAAGCCCAAAAGACAAGATCCTGCACCTGACCACTTCTATGTCTATATATATATATATATCAGTTCACCTGTTGCTGTGGCGCTAGCCAGGTACATCGGTCGTTCAACGCGTATCCTGTCAAAAAGGCTCGAAGAACACTATCCAGCGTGGCTGCAGAAAAGATGTAATGGCTGCATAAGGAGTGCAATAATCGAACATCTCGTCACCACTGGTCATTCCATCTCAACAAACGCCTACTCCTTCAAAGTAATCTACAAAGTGAAGAACAACCTGACAAAGACAATACGATTCCGTTTTCTTTGCATCGCAGAAGCCCTAGCCATTAAGCTAGAGGAACCAGAACTGTGCATACTAAAGAAAATTATTCAACCACTTCTACTATCATGGTAACAACTCTGTTGATTTAACTTAACTTTTGCTTGTTTGCTTCCTTTTTCTAACTACTTAAAACCCTTGTATAATTCCGTATATTTTGTTTCCATGTACACTCTGAGTACAACTCTTTCATTAAACTATTCATGCTATTACGCAACTCTTCTTTAACAATCGTTTGTGGCAATTCATCACTTTTGCTACTACTGTCTTATACCAACATCCAACTCACCTGAACTTATTAATTGTATTTCCGTTTGACAAATTTAATGTACACACACATACAAAAATAAAAGGATTCATAAGGCAAACAATCTGTATGACTAGCAGTGTGAAATCCAAAGATCAGTGTTTCGTCCCATTTTGAGACTCGTCATCTGACGGGGTGGGTTGGAGTGTACTTGCAATCCTCAGTGATTGGCTGGTCGTGTTCCAATTGAAACTCAAACCAGCCAGCTATCACTTCTTGCTGGAGATTGATTGTAGGCACCTCAAGTGGATGAGTCCCAAAATACGACGAAATGGGCATCCTGGAATCCATTGCCAGTTACTATCGACTAAATAACATCAACGTTAATCCTAATCGAAGCATCCTCCTAATAGGAGCCCACATATCGACACGGATTGAACATTTAGCCCCAATATAATATTAATCAATAAGATATACGAAATTCACTTAAACAAACAATCAGTTTATTGAGTGACGATTATCATGATCATGATGGCTGGCAAGACATCGGAACGTCCAAAAGAAACAGGTTAACTTTTTAAGCCAGAGATAGATCCAAATTAATCATCATCAGCGAGTTTGTTTTTTTCTATGTATGAACGTGATGAAAAGCAAATCTAACAGACTGCTTACTACAGACTTTCAAAGGCGACATTCGATTCTGTCGACCGAGAGGTTCTCTGGCGATGCTTGGCTGTAATGGGAATGCCGAGAAAATACATTGCACTGATCTAGGCACTCTACTCGAACTCATGCAGTCAACCAGGTGAGAGCTTACGGCGAGTTATCATCTGAAGTAGTGACGACTAGTGGTGTCCGTCAGGGATGCCCATTATCCCCATTCCTATTCAACTTCATCATAGACGTACTAATGGACTTAATCCTAACTCACTTCAGCGACTCAGGGATTGATTTGCTACCAGGGAATAATCTCGTCGACTTAGAATATGCTCATGATATAGTTCTTTTAAGCGAGGACGCTGACAAAATGCAGAGTCTTCTGAACACCTTGAGCTACAATCTTCGTATGTTTGGCATGCGATTCGCCCCTGTAAAATGTAAGATGATGCTGCAAGATTGGACTTCACCGACCCCTAGATTAGAGATAGGAAGTGAAGTGGTAGAGCACGTTGACCGCTTCACTTACTTGGGAAGTACCATCAGCCAACACGGACGGGTTGATCTCTGACTAAATCTCAGCACGGATACAGAGGGCTAGTTTCGCATATGGCATTTTACGCCGTCTCTGTCTTAGTAGACGTGATATCCGACTATCGACCAAAGGGTGTGTGTACTGCTCAGCAGTCAGTTCGCTCCGTCCTCCTTTATGGCTGTGAGACCTGGCCATTGAGAGTGGAAGACATGAAAAGGCTGGCTAGCTGTCTTTGATCATAGGTGCCTGCGTTCTATCTCCCGTGTGAAATGGTATAATAGGGTGAGCAATATTGAGGTTAGGCGTCGGTCAAGTGCTAGGTAAGGAGGGGAAATCAATCGACGAGGTTGTTGGTTGAAGCTACATTGTCTGAGATGGTTAGGACATGTGTTACGTATGCCTAGCCATCGCCTTCCTCGACAACGGGCAATGTTAGCTGATATAGGGTCAGGCTGGAAAAGAGCTAGCACGTGGTGGTTAAACCAAAACTTGACTTCATCAGTCAATGAAATTCACAACAGTTAGTTTAAGCCAGCCAGCCAGCCACGTAGGGAAGAAGATGAAGACTTCCTGACTGGTTGGGGACCTCGGGACGGTAAAAACCAAAGAAGGCTGGAGACAATCGGTTATTTGGCACAAGATCGTTCTCAACAACTAGCGCAGATGCATTCACTTCTTGTGACTTATGATTTCCAATGAAACTGTTTTGTTCTTCGTTATTACCATTCCTTTGTCTCACACCTCTGTTTACTATCTCTAATATTCATTTCTCCTACTTCCTTCTCTTGCTTTGTGTGCTACAAGGAGGGAGTGTGGCGATTTGAAGTGCTGCACATCGGTGCAAAGTTCTACGTCGAAAACAGACAGACAGACAGACTACAGACTTTCATCAACAGGATGAGAATCACCGATCAGATCAGAAAGGAAAGGGAGACAAGGAATCCATCACCCAACAGAGATATACAAGAGAAAATGGTAACGGATTGAGCATACACTGAGGAGAACAGTGAGTGACATGCTGCGCATCAGGCGTAACCTCGAGTGAAAGTCGAGTTGGAAACGATGACTTGACCGTCCAAGAGTAATATGGAAGAGATCGTGCAAAAAAAGAGGAAATATAAGCGCTTATGGGGAATCGTGGAGCCAGCTAGCTGAACAGGAATTCAGAGGACCGAGTGAAAATTGCAATGTGTTGCTAAAGCTCTATATTCCACTAGGAACCCAACGGGGTAATTACAGTATCAAAAAATGGAACAGCTACGGACTGGAAACTTTCAGACTCAACCAGATCAAATGTTGTATTATGGGACATTTCTTGGTATGTTACTAACCAGTCATTACACAGTTTTCATAAATTAAACTTCTAATACACGGATTATGTGAAAATTTTGAAGATATAAAGAGTCCAGAATGAGAAGGACCTGAAAAATAGGACAAGCTAAACTGTTTAGTGTTTTAATTGGACACTAGTTAGTAATTTTCTTTGGTGTAGACTGAATTCTATCAAACACAAAATATTTGAGCAAAGAATACCCTTTTCGATAAATTCCTCTTCTACCTCTACAATTATATAGACATATGTTTATATATAAAGAATATTCTAGAATAGTAGTCAATAACAATATTGGTGTGCTTTCTAAATAATATCGATTTGTTAAGTAAAATCACAATGGAATTACAGTTCATTAAAGATGCTTAAATTATAACAAAATAATAATAAAGATAAAGTAGCAAATAGAATATCAACTAAAATTAGGAAAATTCCACAAAAATTCAGGATCATCCAAACCTAGATGGTCAAGTTAAGGACAATGTCTGAACTGGCTTCTTTTGGATGCACAAATTAGGCTTGTCAATATGGATCCTCACAGCCTCAGCAATATTTAGTAAACGGACTCTTAAGGCGAAGTTAAGATTCGTTGGTATGCGGTAAATGACTTTGAAAGCTGCCTCGTTGAAATCAATCTTGTGTTCTGTATCCACAGGATGAGATAGAATGGCGTTGCGAATAGATTTTCTTTGTCCTTTGTTCAACCACACAGGGTGATGTTCGGAAATTCGACGAGAAACACGCCTAATTGTACGGCCTATGTAACTGGCTCCACAGGAGCAGTTAAATTCTCAATTTTGCCTTAAGAGTTCGACTGCTAAATATTGCTGAGGATGGCTGTTGGGATCCATATTGAGAAGCCTAATTTGTACATCCAAAAGAAGCCAGTTCAGACATTATCTTTACCTTGGCCATCTGGGTTTGAATGGTGCTCAAGTTTTGTAGAAATTTCCTTAATTTTAGTTGATATTCTATTTACTATTATATTTTTATTACTATTACTATAATTTAAGCATCTTTAATGAACTGTAATTCCATTGTGCTCTTACTTTACTAATCGATATTATTTAAAAAGCACACCAATATTGTTATTGACTACTACTCTAGAACATTCTATGTATATAAACATATGTATATATAATTGTAGAGCCAGAGGAGGAGGAAATTATCGAAAAGGATATTCTTTGCTCAATTATTTTGTGTTTCATAGATGTCTGAATGAATATTTTCGCTATACTGAATTCTATCAGTCAAGTTTGCAATGTGGCCACCATGCCACTAGGTGGCTCGCCATCACTGTGTGTACTGTGAATTGTCGATATTATAGTCCTACAGGAGGTCCTGTAGGATTACACACGTTTAACTTTCAAATCAGTATGAGTCATGGCTTCTTTTTTTGTCACCATCAGTTCCATCCGAGTGGAGGCAATCATAGTTAGATCTCAGTTACTCGGTACCGGGCGGCTATCAGTTATGCTTAACATGTGAGAACTTGATGATCCTACTCAGTCACCCAGGGCTGAAGCAGCTGTGGAGAGGGATTCGAACCCGAGACCCATTGCTTGGAAGTTGACTACTTAAACCAATGAGCCACACCTCGACTGATTTTCGAATGGAACCTAAGGCTTTGAAGTTCAGTAAGCAGTGGTGGTGTTGGGGGGTTATTGATCTCACGCCCCTCCCCCAAGCTTTTCTTTATTCCAGGCTTACTATCAGCCAGTAGACTAAACGAGGTTTAGGAATGCGTCAGCCGGGAGTCGAACCTTAGGCGGCCAAGTTAAACTTTAGACACCAGTAACTACCAATCAGCGAACGATGTCGAATTATCCAATGAGATTCACGAACGTAGTTCAATGTTGTATAGCGCTTGATTCATTTCCATGCGTACCCTTACAAGGTTAGGTTTGCAATTCGAGGAGGATAGTGTCTTTCAGTATTGCCTGGACTTAGGCTTGCTTCGAAAGGAGAGAAGTTGTTCGTGTGGTGGTGTAATGACTCTAAAAAGCTATACTAGGTCAACTGATGGTTTTGTACATCGTTGTGGAATATGCTGAAAGCGAGTTAGTATTAGAGAGGGTAATATTTCGTAGGAACGTTTTTTCCTAGGTCGCATCTCTCCCTAACCCAGATTTTGTACATTTGCAATTACTGGGTACTGAAACAGCCCATGAGAGCCGCTGCTGCCGAGACGGAGAACAGCCTCGTCTCAACAGTTCAGTGGTACCAGCACTGCAGAGACATCGCCTCATGGGAATGGACAGAATTACTTCGTTGTTAGGAGGGGACGACGTAATATTCCATGTGGATGAGACAGTGTTGGTGAAGAAGAAATATAACCGCGGTCGTCAGAGAGCGAACAACATTTGAATCATAGGCTTATACGACACGTCCCTCCGAAAAGGATTTGTTGAAAGAATAGCAGACAGGAAGGCGACTACTTTGGTACCTATTATAAAGCGACTTGTGAAACCGGGATCAATTGTACATACCGACGAGTGGAAAGGCTATGATTCATTGTCATTCCTGGGATACATTCATCACAGAGTGAACCACTCCAGTGATTTCGTGGACCCAGTTACAGGGACTCATACAAATTCCATTGAAGGATTTTGGGGTCGATTGAAAAATAGAATAAGAGCTATAAATGGATCTCATTTATAGTCATTTAGATGAATATATGTATAGAATATGACAGTCCCATGCTGAATTGGGAAATGTTTCTCTCCCATGTTCGGAAAAGATACCCATTGTAACCGTTTTAACATTTTTTTAATGCATTTTTCCCTAAATATACGTTTCTGCTTATCATAAACGCCTCTTTCATGTGATTGGTCCGTTCAAGGTCGTTTGCTGATTGGTTGTTACTGGTGTCGAAAGTTTAACTTTGCCCCTTAGACCATGCGCACAGCTGTAGAGCATTCTACTAATGGACAGTCCATACACCAAATGAGAGAAAATAAATACGGAGAAAGAGAGAGAGAGGGCGAGAGAGATGGGGCGGAGAAAGTAAACAGAACAAACAATAACAATAAAACAACAACAAGAGAAACACTTACCTTAATTGCTGCAAAACCACATGGTACACGTGTATACTTTTCTAAATCATTAACAATTTGTTCACCAACTTGTAAATAATATGGATCTTCTGTAGCACGATATAACAAATAGGTGGATTCAATCAATTCTGGTCTAAGTAAATGTTGACCCCAATGAACATTAAAATCTGGTGTAAATGCTTCAGGTAATAATTTATTACGTTTATGTATTAAGTATAATAATTCATGTAATGCAACTGCACGTTTTACATCACCTGTAAGAACCTTTATCAATCAAAAGAAGAGATAGATATATGCATATAAGCATATTTTAGTAAGGATTTAATTACTTTGAAGCTACATTAAAAACTGATATTATCAGTGAGATGAATTACTGAAAACCACTGGAGAGCGTTTGAAAGCTGTTTCGCCTTATTTGAAGACTTTTCGGCAGTGAAGTTCACCACCAAGTAGAGTGTGAGGAGGCTAGTTGGCGAGGGCTTTACTTATACACATGGCAAAATGGAAGAAGTTAGAATTCATAAGCCATTCATTGGATTCAATTCCGGTGGCTGAAGGTTCTAGGTTCGATCCTGAAGTGTGAGCGATTACAGGGTGCGTAATGCTGAAGAGCCTCGGTACTCAAATATTGGTTTTCAGTCATTCTCTATTATTATTATTATTATTTTCTTGGGTTCCGGGTGGATGGTATATAGGGCATCAACAACACATCCCCCAGTTTCTTCTATTTTCTGCCATCCTCTTCAGCCAGCTCCATGATCTGCGCATAATCTCTCATCTCCTACTCCCCAACACACGACCTCCTTTATGTAAGTCTCGCACCGCCGACCAACTCATCGTTTCCTATCGGGATTCCACTCGAGTGATGGTCTGCATTGAGTGCGATTTCATTCGACTGCCTCCTCAACGTATACCACCCTCTACACTCACAACTCTCAATTTGCATCTCGTCAGGCAAAACCAGAAGCCTATATAGAAAACTATATGCTCGCACCAGCAAGTACAAAAACTCAACCATACCCTGCTTAGCTCGTGTTCTGTGCGATAAAGAAAACATTAGGCGTGGTACCTAAAACTTATCAAATAGTCAGTAGAACAACTGGACCTCGTCTTTCCAACTCATATCATTTATACGTACGTTTTCTTTCTTTTCCTTTTTTCTCTCTTTTTCCGTTTTATGATGCTTTGTGTCTTTTTTCCGCTTACGCCAGTAAATATGATAGCACCTACTTTTCTAACACCTTCAAACACTGTTCAGCTTTACCTTTGCTACCGACATGCCAATGTGTTGTTGTAATAATGAACTGAGATTTCCTTAATCTATGTAAAATTCTATTTATTGATAATGCACTAACTGGATGCAATACTGTAGTGAAATGCTGAGAATTCCATTCTGTATCACAAGTACTGTTTTGAAATAAAGCAAATTATTATTATTCCTAATTTATCTCCATTTTCTACTACATATTTGTTGAGCGATCAGATCTTGATTGGTTTGTTCCCAGCCAGAGTTTCTTGTGGCTAATTCTTTCTGGCCGGCCGACCAGCCATTTGATCTTCAATATACAGCCAGCGAAGATAGCTGTTGATAAAAGTCCGAAACTGGCTGTTAGAAATCCTTTTCGTGACTCACGTGCAGTGCAAGTTTCTGACTCGTATAGAAGAACCGATTGACTGACTAACTGACTTCACATGTGTTCAATAGAATCCGAATCTTGTTCTTCATGCTGGCTGAGGCGGAGTGTAGAAGATTTCCAAACTGGTTTCAGATTGATGAAGACGTATCTTACCCTTCCGATTATGGCTGTCTGGCTTCGACATCCTCATCCGTGCTGTCACCTGTGGTTGAAACCGTGCTTCCTAGATAAGTGAAGGCAGGAAGTAACCTCTGTCAAATTTTTCCCATTAATGGTGATTGGTGCTGGTTGTTGTCGCTGTCGGTTGGTTGGTTGGTTGGTTAGTTGGTTATCTTCATCACCTCCGTCTTTTCTCACCTCTCTTCTCTCTAATTCTCTAAGTGATATTTATTTTCAGGTATTGGTTTTGTAGGGATTTTGTTTGATTGGTTGAAGGATTTCATCGTGAGCTAACATCAGCTAGAGAATCATTGAAAAATTTTCAGGGAGTACTGGACAGCTATTTAGTCAGCATAGTTTGGGACTTTTCAGAGGTACGCACCCAACGGGGTTCGAAGCCAGGACCTTCTGGTTACAAGGCAAGCTTGTAGACCTTCCTTTCCTCAGAAAATCTAGTAGATGCTCTCCTCTCAGTCCTTCCTATGTACTTGCTTCTGCAAGTGCAAGTGAATTGGTAAATGAGCACATTCTTAAGAGTCTCCGTACAAAAGGAAGAAAAGTGTTATCGAGTGCAATCGCCAGACATTTAATTGACACAGGACACACAGTAGAAATTAGCCAAGCCTTCAAAATAATCAATACGCAAAGAAACCCACAGCTACTTTGCTTCGCAGAAGCCATTGCTATCAAGAGACTTCGACCAGACCTCTGTATACAGAAAGATAGTGTGACTAATCTTTCACTGCCCTGGTAACCCTTATTCTATTTTATTTTATTTATTATTGTTTTGCCTTTTTGTCAGTATGCCTGTGTGTTTGTCTTGTTACGGCACATTTTATTCAATTTTAACTTTCAAGTTTCTAAATCTACTTAATTGTCTGTTTAAGTTTTTAAAAATGTTACTTCGCTATTCACCCCTACCCTCTTAAACCCTCCACCACAAGATGTGTAAATTCACTCTGTTCTCTGACCCTGATCCTGTATTATGCTTCTAACCAATCTGTTTTCCAATAGAAATCTGAACTCTAACCCCTCATATCTAATTTCCACTATATATAGTTAGTTGTTTTTTTTGACACTGAATAATCTGTCTGCCGACATCAAATGCTGGAATTATGTTCCTTATACCTTCTATGTATAACTCCAAGTAATTATGAAAAAAGTATGTCCCAAAACTTTTTTGAAACTTATAATTTGATTTTGTCTAGAATGTATGCAGCTGATGAGAATCCACGAAATAAATTACTTATCTTCTCGGAGTCAACTACATAGGTCAAACTAGTAGGTTTAGGGTAGTCAGATTGTCGGAACATAAGAATTTAGCTAAGGTAAGAATGGCTGACCCCGAGAAGATAAATGATTTAGAAAAAAAGCTCAGAACTGCATTGCACTGCATGCGTTAACACACAACCACACACAATAGGGTGGGAGAGGGTTGAAATTCTAAGAAGTAATATAAGTAGGTAGAGCGCGAGAGAGGTTGATTACTGAATCCTTGTTCATCGAGTCTACACCCAACACGTGCAATAGGATGCAGTGACTCATCACTCATACCGGAAATATGGAAAATACTACTACCAATCATCAAGTCAAGCGATGGAAAATAATGATGGAATTATATAAACGAAGTTAAAAGAAGTATGTGAGTACCTTGATATGATTATGAGTAGCAGTGATAAATTGTGCTCGAAACCTGGTCATCAGTAAATATTACTGTATAACAACGCAATGAGACTTTATCAAAATAAATTTAATCGACAGAAGACCAGTAGTTCAGCAAAGATCTCCTTTCGCCGGCGAATTCATTTTCATAGCTGTACAATCGCAAATAGGTATATGGTTGTTTTGTATGTGTGTGTGTACATTAAATTTGACAAACGAAAATACAATTAGTAAGTTCAGATGCTGATATAAGAGGGTAGTAACAAAAGTGATGAGTTGTCACAAACGGCTGTGGAGCCAGGTACATCGGTCGTTCGACGCGCATCCTGTCAAAAAGGGTCAAAGAACACTATCCAGCGTGGCTGCAGAAAGGAAGTGTTAGCCGTATGTGGAGTGCAATAATCGAACATCTCGTCACCACTGGTCATTCCATCTCAACAAACGCCCACTCCTTCGAAGTAATCTACAAAGTGAAGGACAACCTGACAAAGACAATACGTTTCCGTTTTCTTTGCATCGCAGAAGCCCTAGCCATTAAGCTAGAGGAACCAGAACTGTGCATACTAAAGAAAATTATTCAACCACTTCTACTATCATGGTAACAACTCTGTTGATTTAACTTAACTTTTGCTTGTTTGCTTCCTTTTTCTAACTATTTAAAAACTCTTGCGTAATTCCGTATGTTATTTTGTTTCCATGTACACCCTGAGTACAGCTCTTTCATCAAACTATTCATGTTATTACGCAACTCTTCTATAACAATCGTTTGTGACAACTCATCACTTTTGTTAATACTCTCTTATATCAACATTCAATTCATCTGAACTTACTAATTGTATTTTCGTTTGTCAAATTTAATGTACACACACACATACATACAAAACAACCATATACATATTTGCGATTGTACAGCTATGAAAATGAATTCGCCGGCGAAAGGAGACTCTTCGCTGAACTACTGGTCGTCTTCTGTCTATTAATGTTCGAATGGGGATTTTTTATGAATCTAAATAAATTTTACGCATAATGAAATCTGATCCATTCACCAAAGGTTCAAAGTAGCCATATAGTTGTTAGTATTAAACAAAAGTCAACAGAAAAGATGCAGATAGTAGTGTGGTGAGTGCTACTTATAATGTGGTCACGTCGAGACGCGGTCCAGAGTACACAATAAAGAGAGGAGATAAAGAGAAAAGAGTAAACGCCAGTCGGCTACAAAGATGGAGACAAGAATGTCAAGACGAGGAAGCTGAAGAACAGCAGGTCGAAACGTCTGTGCGGCGATCAAGGCGGTTACAGGAGAGACTTTATAATGAGGGGGCGAGTGTGGTGAGTGCTACTTATAATCCAATATAAGTAGTATATCAGAAACGAATTCAGAAAAGTAACAATATGTTTGGCACACTGGAAAGAGCAATCAAAGAAGAGAACCATGAGAAGAATGTTGCCATATGATGCAGAATCCAAGAAGCTATCGAATGTGACGATATTCGACCAATTCGTCAAGGATGTGGTAAATGATGTGCAAATGGCAGGTTGAAAATATGGTATACCAAATTTAGCTATGTACAATACGTTTCACCAAATAAACATTCCTTTCAGCCTCCTCGGTCTTTTCTTCTTTACAGTAGCGTGTTAGGTGCATCAATTAAATAAATTATATATATATATATATATATACGGATTGATATCTAAGGTTTACAACTACATATTTTTATATATGCATTCACTCACTTGTAGACCAGGCCAAAAGGCCAATAAGGCATCCATAAATGTTCTTGCACGCTGAGCTGGCCGATGCATATGTACATCCAAAAATAGGAAGGGGAATTCAGCTGATTGTGGTCCACCAACATATCGATTCACTGCTTCATAATGTGTTTGAAAACGATGCAGGTAGACTGGTTCACCGAGTAGTATATACGCCTTAAATAAATATTCATAATAGGAGTCAATACCAGCGCCAACACCAGACTCTAGAAAAAGTTAGGGAAAAAAAGAAGTTACCAGGGTGGGGGTGAGACACAGTAAAAAAAAATAATAATACACGTTTCCTTCCGGATAATGCGACAAACAGCGGGCAATGAGGAAACAGGCATTAAATGGACACACACAAAAAACTTGGAGGATCTTGACTTCGCCGATGATATATGTCTGATTTCCCACAAACTGGAAGATAGGCAAGCGAAAAGCAACAAATTGTCAGAAGAAGCATCAAAGATAGGAAGGACTTCAGGTGAACATAGAGAAAACAGAAGTGATGAAGATTTCTGGCCAACACCAACAGCAACCACAACAACAGACAATAATCAGCACAAACGGGGGAAATCTGAAAGAAACAACCTCCTTCACCTACCTGGGAAGCATCGTTTCAACTACAGGCGACAGAACTGATGAGGATATCAAAGCAAGAATCGGAAAAGCAAGACAAGCTCTCACTACTCTCAAGTCTGTGCGGAGGTCAACAGCACTCAGCATCAAAAATAACATCCGGATTTTCAACTCTAATGTGAAGTCAGTGCTACTCACTGTACGGATCAGAGACTTGCACTGCGCGTCATAAAGAGCATCTCAAACAAACTACAGACCTTCATTAACAGTTGTCTTCACTCAATGCTACTCAAGATCAAATGGTTGGCCAGAAAAGATCAGCAACAGGGATCTCTGGCAATGAGCGAACCGACTCAGCAGGAACCGATTGTGAAACAAATAGGCAGGTAGAAATGGAGATGGATTGGCTGGCCATACTCTGAGGAAACCATCAAGTGACATCACTAGACAAGCCATTGCTCGAGTGGAACCCGAAAGGGGAGCGGCGAGTTGGTCGTCAGTGCAAGGATGACTTGGAGGAGGTCATGTGAAGAGGAGATGAAAACGTGTGGGCAGACTTGGAGCCCAGAGAACAGAACGCAATGGAGACGCACTTCTGAAGCCCTATGTTCCTGTAGGAATTAAAGGATAAAATAATAATAATAATCCGGAGAATAAAGTGTTGGCGCCTCTATAGACGCCGTGGTACAACCGAGGTTGGGTAGACTTCCGTTTTTCTCTCGAAATGCTCTCGTCATGTGGTCACACGATCACAGCCCGTGACATTGCCTTCACATAGCGGGGGTGTTCCACACAGAAGTTCAGTGGCGTCTACTACCGAACTAGTGATCATGTTAATCTACGTAGGGGAGTTGGAGGACCCTGATTATTCCAAACCTAGGATGTACATGGGCTCCAGAATCCGAGCGGATCGAATGGCGTACCGGCCTGTTTTGGGTCACCAGCAACCATGGAAACTAAGTTCTTGACTCTGGTCCATTAGTAATTCCATATTAGTTTGTTTATTAGATACATCACACAGTGAAGAAACAGTATTATTTACTGCATTACGTTTCGAACAAAATTTATTACTATTCATAATCATTTCATCAATTATAATCACACAACTTCGAAACTTGAGTTTTGTAGTTTTCTTTGTCCTCTCCTATTTGTCATCGTTGGGGTAGTAGAATTTTCCAGATATCTGGAACAGGTGTTGAACCACTCATATTACACGTATTCCCAGCTGATTCGATAAACAAAGCTTCTGTTATCAATCTCTCCCTCCACCCTGTGACATTAGATTTTAAAACTGTCATCTTATCCCATCCTATTGTATGGTTGTGTGTAATTGCATGTGGTGCTATAGCTGAACTATTCTCTAGATTTCTTATCTTATTCGGGTCAACCAATCTAGATTTTGCTAAGTTTTTATGCTCGGCTAGTCTGACTGCCCCTGTTCTACTAGTTTGGCCTATGTATTTGACCTGACAATCATTGCAGGCAGTGTATTAGATAAACTAAATTGTTTTGTTTTAAAGGCTCCACAGGATCCTTTAACCGACAAAGCTTGTTTCTAATTGAGTTTGTGGGTTTGAATGCCAGCCACTTTTATTCCTGCCTTGTTAAGAATTCTGCGTAAGATTGGTATGGAATTACTACTGATGATTTAGATTCCTTATTGTTGGTGTTGTCTTGCGCATATTTGACATGCATGCCGTCATTAATATTATTATTATTATCACTACTATCATTATTTATTTTATTTTTACATTTCCCTACATATTTTCTGACTAATTTATCCGGGTAATTATTAAGTTTCAAGGTTTCTTTTATGTGTATCACTTCATGTCTTAGATTTTCCTTGGTGCTACTTAGTTTTTGTGCTCTGTCACTTAAACATTTCACCAATCCTATTTTTACTGATATAGGATGGGATGATCGGAAGTCCGAATATCTGTTTGAATGTATGGGTTTCCTGTAAACACTAGTGTTTAACTTCCCATCTTCTTTTCTTTTTAAGCTGCAATCTAACATTGGAAGCTCCCTTCCCCGACTTTCCAATTCCCAAGTGAATTGAATTGCTTCCACCTTTGAGTTAATGTGTTCGAAAAATCTGTCTATATCTTGTGTCCTAAGTACAATGAATGTTTCATCTACATATATCCACCATACTTTTGGGGTGGGGGTGAACGTTTCGGTGCCGAAGAAACTGCTATTTATGAACGTTGAATTTGAAGGTGATACCGCAGCTGAAATCCTGAAGAATCGCTTATGCAGATCACTGAGGAAAGCCTTCTTTATGGCTGAGCTACGTATCAATTTCTACAGCCGACAAATGATCAACGGATGTGTGAAGGATAAACTGCCGCTTTGGACCACCTCAATGTGTGTTTATAAATTCACCTGCTCGTGTGGAGCTAGTTATATTGGCCACACAAAGCGCACACTTTCCAAATACATCTCTGAACATCATTATCCGGTATGGTTAGCAAAAGGACAAAACAAGATAGTTACTAGCTCAATTCTCGAGCACTTGGTGAACTCAAGCCACGTAGCTCCACCAGAGTCGTCTTTCAAGATTATCTACAAGATGAGCCCAAATGGTACAAATAGTGTCAGGCTTCTGCATTTGTATATGGCAGAAGCGTTGACGTCTTTTTGGTGCCTATGTTTTACCAGGTTTTGTATCTTAAATAAATAAAATTATAAACACAAACAATAAAATAAAAGACTATCTCCCTTCAACACGAAGAAAAGCCAACACAACTCCTCAATGATTCCAAAATGCACAGATGAAAGGACGAAAAAAAAGCTGAATTGATTACCTTGACGTATCCAATCCCCATTGCGTACATTAATTACCCGACCAACAAGATCTGAATAACGATTACGTTGTTTCCATAGAAATGCCATTGCTTTAGCTGCTTTCTCTTCATAGATTGGATCACCAGTTAATCGACTTAATGCAGCAAATTCAAGTATCATTGTACCAGCGCATGCAGTACATGTATTCTCCTATACATATATATACATAGAATAGCAGTCATTAACAACAGCAACAACAACAACATTAATCACAAGAAATTATAAACAGAGAGTATAAAACAAACTGATAGTAACTATAAAAATAAGAATTATTATTATTCCTTTGGGATCCGCAGTGGAATATTTTGCGCTTCACCATCAACGGGAGGGATTTGAAAGAGGTTACTTCATTCACTTATCTAGGGAGCATTGTCTCAACTACAGGCAGGTGGAACGGACGAGGATGTCAAATCGAGAATCGGGAAGGCGACAAGAACACATTCATCAACCTGAAACCAATCTGGAAATCTTCGTCACTCAGCAACACTCAACAACAAAATTCGGATTTTCAATACAAACGTCAAGTCAGTCACTTCTTCTATACGGATCAGAAACTTGACGGCGGGTCACAAAGAATATTTCCAACAGCCTGTTGCAGACCTTTATCAACAACTGTCTTCGCTCTATACTCAAGATCAGATGGCCGGAAAGAATCACCAACAAGAAACTATGGGAACAAACAAAACAAGAACCAATCGCCCAACAAATATGCAGGAGAAAGTGGAGATGGATTGGACACTCGCTGAGGAGGCCACTGGGTGACATCGTGCGTCAGGCCATCGCTCGAGTGGAACCCGAAAGGGAAGCGGCGAGTGGGACGTCAGTGCAAGTGTGACATGGAGGAGATCGTGTGAAGAGGAGTTGAAACAGTATGGACTAACATGGATGCAGGTGAAAAGTACAGCAGAAGACAGAAGCAAGTGGAGACGTGCAGTTGAAGCCCTATGTTCCACTAGGAACCCAAGGGAACAATAATAATAATAATAGTGTACATCCCCATTTCACTTTGTTTTCTGCTGTCTTCGAAGCTCACTCTACGATACCGCCAATCAGCGCCTTTACCTCTTCCATATCACCACCTTCGGACGCTCAAGTCATCGCTTGCCATTCAGTTCCCACTTAACCATATGCCTATACCATGATGTTACTCAACAGTCTCCACAGTGTGTGTGTGTATGTGTGTCAGATCCATCTCCATTTTCCTTGTTGTTTATCCTTCCTGATCACCCATCGAATCATCAGTAAAGTGATAGCTAAGGCAGTTGTTGATAGAAAGTCTACAGCATGTTGGAAATGCTTAGATAACGCACCAAAGTCTATGAACCACATAGGAACACTGATTTGAGTGACATGAGTGTTGTAAATCTGAACCATGTTCTTTACGCTCAACTCACTGGGTCATACAGAACGATTTTGACTAAAATCAGGCGGTCGACAAGTCTCCCCATATGGCTTGCTCAGACCAACAGTCAGAGACTTTATGAATTGATATCGTGTTTTGCTTTGACCACCAACCTAGCAATTTCAAACGATACAGCTATACAACCTCATGAATTGATCTTTCCTCCTTAACATTCTATCTACTAAATGAATAGAGTTTGCTTGTATCCCGTTTCCTTTGCTTTTTGAGTGGGACATAAGGTTTCAAGCTTTGAAGTCTCAGTGGTGATGGTGCTGTTGTTGTTACAGGATGACGTCGTTAGCCTCATGACCACCAACCTTTCCTCTTTTCCAGGTAAATTACTGGCTAATAAACTGAGGAAGGTCTCGAGGGTCTCATTGGCAGGGAGTCGAACTCCGGACAGTTAGCTGATTAGCTTCTATCACTGAACCATCGACGTACAAAACATATATCTATATATATCGAGAGCCCAAATCGATTCGACAATTTACAACTAATTTGTCTTCCTTGAATTTCCCTCGCAATTCATAATTGATACACATGAATCCAGGAAGATAATCACGATCAGTTTTCCCCTGCCAGCCACGATTGAATAACTCAATTTACATAGGTTGTAATCAATCGAAATTTGAAGTTGTCAAATTACACCCCAAACTCCCTTAAAAGTTTTGAAGACCCCAAACAATTTGCATATAGACAGGGTAGGAACACTTTAGATGCTGCAGCCGTCTTACACAACAACATCGTCTCATCATTAGATAAAGGTGCTAAATAGGCTCGTTGCACGTTTCTCGACTTCACTTCTGCTTTTGACTCAGTACCTAGATGTCTCTTGCTAACTAAGCTTTCCATGACACAAATTGAGTCCTGGGTCACTAACTGGTCGCATTCCTATAAGAATAAAACTTGGGCACTGTGGTAGAGTGTAATTCCTTTATGGGTAAATTTTATTTTGATAGAGTCTCACAGTGTTATACAGTAATATTTACTGCTGACGTTTCGAGCACAATTTATTGCTCATAATCATATCAAGGTAATCACACGACTTCCTAAATTCATTTATATAGTTCCATTGTTTTTCACTTGATTTGATGAGTGATGATTCATTCCTATTGCATATGTTGGGTGTAGATTTGATGAACAACCCGACACATGCAACAGGAATGAATCATCACTCATACCCGAGATATGGAAAATATTACTACCAATCAAATCAAGTGAAAAACAATGGAGCTATATAAATGAATTTAGGAAGTCGTGTGATTACCTTGATATGATTATGAGCAATAAATTGTGCTCGAAACGTCAGCAGTAAATATTACTGTATAACACTGTGAGACTCTATCAAAATAAAATTTACCCATAATGGTCGCATTCCTATTTCTCAAACAGAATGCAGTACACTGTATACAAAGGTAATTCCTCCTCTGCTGTGCTCACTGAAGCTGGTGTCCCCCAAGGTCCTATACTCTCCCCACTTCTCTTTTCTTTCTTTCTATATGACTTACCATCTTCAAATGACATTAATTTTGTTAAATATGCTGACAACCTGACTGTATTTTTGCCTGTCAAATGTCAAAGTGACTGCTCTAAACTAAATGGCTTTCTGTCAGAAATCAGCCAGTGAGTGGTCCAAGGAAAACGGTCTTACTCTAAATCCCTTTAAATGTCAAACAGTCAATTTCACCGTTAAGCATAAATCTGACCTAAACAAACTGGTTAGCACTCACGAGGTGTGCAGCATAGATGGCACTGAAATAGAGACCAAATCGGAAATTAAATACCTAGGCGTCATTCTATCTGCTGATCTCTCCTGGTCGTCTCATATCTTGGCGATTTCTAAGAAAATATTCCGTCTTACCTTCTACATCAAGAAGTTAAAACATTCTGGTATAACCCAACCCTTACTCCTACAATTCGTTAACTCTCGCATTCTGCCTATTATTCTCAATTGTCCCCCCTTAGTTTTTCCAGGGCTACTGAAGAAAGACTATACCTTATTACGCAGGATGTTAAAGGTTGTCAGCAGGGTAAGCAACGTGCCACTTAACCAGCTCGTTAATATTCTGGTTGACAGGCACACGGACTCATGTGAAAAATGGGCCAAATCCATTCTATCTAACTCACACCACCCTCTTCATTCACAACTCCCCCTTTGTATCTCATCAGGCAGGACCAGAAGCCTATATAGAAAACTATATACTCGCATCAGCAAGTACAAAAACTCAACCATACCCTACTTAGCTCGTGTTCTGTGTGATAAAGAAAGCATTAGGCGTGACACCTATAATTCACTAAATAGTCAGCAGAACAACTGGATCTCGTCTTTCCAGCTCATATCATTTATAGGTACAACGTTTTCTTTCTTTCTTTTCCTTTCCTCTCTCTCTTTCTGTTATGTGCTGCTTTGTTTCTTTCTTCCTTACAAACTCTTCTTAAAACATTCTTCTTCGTTCTTTGACACTCTGTATATCTCGACCTTTTTTACCGCTTACGCTAGTAAATATGCTAGTATGTACTTTTCTAACACCTTCAAACATTCTGTTCACTTTTGGCTTTGCTACCGATATGCTAATATGTTGTTGTCAAGACTAACTGAGATTACTCATAATCTATGTGGACGAAACTGTGTTACTGAAGAAAAAATACAACCGTTAGCGAGTCAACAATGTTAAGGTAATTGGTTTATATGACACCTCCCTAAGAAAAGGATTCGTGGAGATAATACCAGATAGAAAGGCAACTACTTTAATACTTATTATGACTAGACTTGGGGAACAGGGATCAATAGCCCCTCCGGTTCCGTGATTCCCCGTTTATACGGTCTGCCGAAAGTGCACAGAGAGAACGTGCCACCACGTCCAATCTCGGACATGACAAATTCCCTATATCATGCTACTGCCAAATGGCTCGCAGAAATCCTCCTACCTATCAGAAATAACCTCTGCAAGCATAGTGTTGCTGATTTATTTGAATTCGTCGATTCAATAAATGATGCTAATATATCCGGGAAGAAAATGATATCCATGGATGTTACTTCGCTTTTCACCAACGTTCCCCTCACTGAAACTATCTGCTTAATATGCAAATTCATTGAGGATAATAATGTAGACGTGTGTGTTCCGTTCCACTACTTAAAGGAACTACTATTGAGGTGCACCTTAAATACCCAATTCAAGTTCAACAACACGATTTATAAACAAAGAGATGGAGTGGCAATTGGGTCACCATTGGATCCTTTACTTGCAGACTGCTTCTTGGCTAGTTTGGAGAGTAGTATTTTACGGCCTACTATCTACAGTTTCCATCTGTACCAAAGATACATGGATGATACTTTCATCATATGTGACGACAATACCGACATCGAATTGATAACTGAAGAGTTCAACAGCTGCCATAATGCCATCTAGTTCACGTCAGGACCACAGATGAACTCGAAATTCCATTTATTTTTGGATGTTTTCCTAAAAAGGAGATCTAACGGTTCTCTTCAAAGATCGATCTACACGAAACCAACATGGAATGGTCAGTACACAAATTTCCATAGTTGGGTCCCTTTGAGAAGAAAGAGAAATGTGATCCATTCCTTGTCCTCAAGAATAAGGATGACATGTACCAGTGATACAATCGAGGGGGAACTGGGGCGACTCAGACAAGTCCTCATAGAGAATGGATATCCTCCAGGATTTATCGAGAAAAACATGAAGATAAGGGAAAAGTCCGAAAGAATCCAGACGGTGCCGAAGAA